GCAGGAAGGGAATACATGGAACGCCATAACCAAGTGGCCAGCATTGTATGCAGAAACATCTGTGCCGAGGATAGCTGGTCAAAGTAGAGGGTGGTCCAGAATTACTTTGCTAAGATCCTGTGGGATCCTTCCTTCCAGATGCAGACGGAAAACATGGTGATAGCTAACCTGCCAGACATAGTAGTGGTGGACAAGCGGAGGAAGACGGCCATAGTGATAGATTTAGCAACACCGAATGACAGCAACATCAGGAAGAAGGAACATTAGAAGCTGGGCTTAGAGAAGAGCTGGAGAAGATGCGGACAGTTGTGGTAACAGTGGTTCCAGTGGTAATCGGAGCACTAGGTGCAGTGAGCTTGAAGGATAGACCAACGAGGAAGGAATTTTTGAATAAAAAAAATAAATGTATTCTATGCATCAAATAAACAGAAGACCGGATGCATCATTTATAGATAAAATTTTGCTTTCTAATTATACCGTCTTCATTTTCACTTCTCACTCTGGCTTCATTGGTTCATATTTCTGCACTGAATCCATCTGCAACAGCCGCAGCAACACAACAGCAAACCAACCAAATGAGAGCTGGTGTACATTCTTTACGAGCTTATTGTATTTTTCTGACTTTTGTATTCTAATGGTTTAAGTTTCAGTTTAGGTTACTTTCGGCTTTCCAATTTTATAGTTTATTCTCTGTGAGGTTCCTCTTGTGTGTTTGTCTCACCCCTATTTTGCCTATGTGAGTCTGTCGTGTCATCTGCTTTTTCGTCTCACTTCCCCGCGTGTAGGCGTATTGACTCTCGCGCTTCCTGTGTGTCCCTCTCTCTTACTCACTCCCTTGCCCCTTTTGTGTCTTAGTGAGAGAAATCTGAAAGAACTGCACTTTTATTATTATTAGTCCTTTATTTATCCAGGTAAAAAAAAAAAAATCTCATTGAGATTAAAAATCTCATTTCCAAGAGAGACCTGGTTACCAGTTAAAACATATCAATCAAAAAATATGCAAATGTATTTTCTGGTTGCTTTTTTATTTGCTTTAGGCAATCTTAACGCTGAAGCAATACAGTATTTGAATAGGACCCTGAATTACTTTGACTAAGATCAAAATGTCAAGGACGATTTTGTTTGAAATGATGGTACACAAAATGTATTTATTCTTCAGTTGTACAAAATAAAAGCAGAAAGCAGGACTTTAAAAAAACAAAAACAGAAAAACAACATCATTCCACGGCCTCAGAAAAGAAATTTGAGGATGGCTGAAGATACCAACAGCAGCAAAGCACTGGAACCGGTTGGAATAGTGCTGTTACACAGGTCCCCTTCACAGCAAGCCATAGCACCACCACAAAATGCGCTGGTTTGGCAGCCTTTTGTAACCAAGTTATAACCTGCAAGACACGAGGAGAAAACTCTCAGAAACTCACTTCACAAAGCATGCTGTGTAGCATCACTGTGCATGCTTGGACTTCTCAGTTATCAAGTCTGATATGAGAAAACGACTCACCGTCTACTCTGAGAGAGAAACAACGGTTGAAGATGACGGCACAAGATTTGCTGTCTATGCAGGATTTAGGATCAGCGGCTGTACATGTGTAGCATCGTAATCCACATACTATAGAAACAAACAACACACTTTCACATGTCCTTGTAATTATTTTGGGGTGTATATTTCCATTTTATACCTCTTGAAGAGAGCTGGCAGAAAATGGGAAGTGAAATAAAGTCTTGCATAAAGTAAATACTAATTAAAACTCAAACAATTGTTTTTAAACGTATTAAATAATTTCTATAACAACTAAACTCTTCATATATATTTCAACAAGATATATAATTTGTCTGTTTCTGTTTCCTCACAGTCTGGTCATTGAGTTTTTTAACTTTCACTTTCCTTACAGGCTTTAAGACCACCATTAACAATCGATACATTTGTTTATCTGTCAAAGCACACAGGACCAACATGAAATATTCTCTTACCTGCAGACAGAGTCACACACAGAATCAGAGCTCGATAAAGCTGCAT